GGATCAGTACCATGGGTGGGGCAGGGCAGTGCCATGGTACAATAACATTCTACACCCCTTCCTAGGGCACCTTCTTGGAATGCTGTCCCGACCTACGCATCACTCACCGCTTCCACCGCGGCTGCGTGTCTGTCCTGGGGGGGGGCAGAGATCGGGGCTTCGGCCTGGGCGCCATGCTCTTCTGCCCCCACTGCGGCGAGGACGCCTCCGAGGCCCGCGAGGTCACCATACCCCCCCCCTCCCCGGCGAGCGCGTCCTCGGCAGCCGTCGTCACGGCGTCCGCCTCCACCACCACGCCCTCCCTGCCCCTCCCGCTCCCGTCGTCTCTGCCCCTCGGCGTGACGGCCGGGGTGTTCGGCAGTGGGCGGAGACCCGAGGCCCCGAGCAGGTGGGTGGGCTGGGGTTTAGGTGTCATTTATCCAAAACCACCTGTATACCTTTGGGATGCTTTTTGTGTGTAAAAATGATGAAACGAGGATGCAAACCCACATTAAACTGAGGCCTTTGTTTGGAGGAATTATTGATCATATGGCAAATGGTGCTGAATGACAGGTGCAGGTGTGGCTGATAACCACGTCCATGATTTAACGCTGGTCATTTTAATCATTATAACCTGTTGCTTTCTTATGCACTCAGTGGCAGCTTATTAAGTTATACCTGAGTGTCAAGGCAGCGGCCTGCTCTTCCAAACTACCAAAGCAAACGGCTCACAGTCTGGGTCAGGAGGTTCAGTTTTTTGTTCCCTTAAGCAGCATAATGGCTGGGCTGCCTGTTCCATGTGGGTTTTAATGTGGTGTGATTGTTGGTGCCAGACGTGGTGGTTCCAGGGTCTCAAACAGCCACCTTCCTGGCACTTTCACACACACTGCAGTGTCTATAGTTTAAAGCTCAGTTTGGTGTGTATGAATATTTACACATGCAGTGTCGGTCAGCTGTGGTTCTTTGTGTCCTGTGGTAACTGGGATCACATGACAGGTTTTCTGTCTGTCTCTCTCCCCACCCCGCCCAGTGCACGGATGCGTGGCCGAGGGGAAGTGAGGCGGGGCCCCGAGCAGCAGCAGTCAGGTGCGGGGGGGAGTGTAGACGTAGCCCTGCCGGGGGACAGCGGAGTGGACAGCGTGGGGCCCTCTCTCTGTTTGCCGAATGGAAAGCCCATATGCCCCAGCGCACTTTCTGTAGGTGCCAGCAGGGCGGCGCTGCAGAAGGCTATACTGAACCAGGACACAGAGAGGTAAATGGAGAGCTGTGCCACCTCCTTCTCCCCAGCTGCCGAATGTAGCATCAGTGTGTCGGGATGAAATGATGAGCGGTTCTGACCTGGTGCTTCATTCTGATTGGTCAGGAGGAAGAAGCTGAGGTTTCACCCTCGTCAGCTCTACCCAGCGACCAAACAGGGTGAAGTACAAAGAGTGCTGCTCATGCTCAGTGAGTCCTGTCCTCTCATGGCTCTATCTGCACATTGGTCTCATGGGAGTTTTGCAAAAATATTCTGACGGCAAAATGGAAGGAAAATGATTGGTTCAGAGGGATAACCAATCAGATTGTAGGGGAAGTGGGTCCAAACAACTAGAGGAGATGGGAGTATGACATCTGCTTGGTTGATCTCGCCTCCTCTAGTCCTCTAGACCCACCTCCTCTACAATCTGATTGATTTATTCTGTTTAAAATAAATAAATAAATGAAGCAAAACTCCATGAGCCATACTTGGGTGGTGATGAGGGGGGAGATTGAATTCCTTTATTGACACAAAGCCACCCAGAATTTCGTGAGTACAAAATGTCGCTCCTTCACCCGTCTCCAGCACGGTCCCCAGCATTACTCACCCCCCCTCTCCTGTCTGCCAGTGGAGGGTATCGACCCAGCCTATCAGTCGGACTCTCAGAACCGCCGCTGCGCCCTGCACGCCGCCGCCCAGAGGGGCTTCCTGGAGATCTGCTACCTGCTTATACAGGTGACCCCCCCCTAGTGTTTGGTTTGAGTCACTGCGGCGCTAATGTGCATTTTCACACGAGAGGCCTGATTCCTCCTCACCAGTCTGAAATCCCAGCAGCCTACAGGAAGTGTCTGACATGTTTATAAATCGATACAAATCCTGTTACTTGTATGTAGTTAGTAGGCTGCGGTGGTTACTAGTCTGCAGGTCTGCAGACATTGCGCTGCTTTCTTGGGGCAGCGTGTGGCTCTGTGGGCTAAGCCTGTGTGCCTGTAATCAGAAGGTCACCGGTTCAAACCCGGCCTCAGCACGTCTGTGGGTCCTTGAGCAAGGCCCTTAACTCCCAGCTCCCTGGGCGCCGCTACGGGTGGTTGCCCTTTGTGAACATAAAGTATTATTATTATTGTTAATAATAATAATAATAATAATAATAATAATAATAATAACAATAATAATAATATTATTATTATTATTAATAGAAAAGTGCCCTGAAAATCGCTAAATGTATAACATATTGTTCACTTAATTAGCTTGACAATGGTAGCATCCCTGTGTCATGATCCACAGCTGTTTCGTTCGGTTCGCGTCCTCATGCAGGCAGGTGCCAAAGTGGACACCCCGGACAAATCGCTGAGGACGCCCCTGCTGGAAGCCATCATTAACAACCACGTGGAGGTGGTGCGTTACCTGATCCAGAGCGGGGCCTGCGTCTATCACACGGTGAGCCGGGGGCCCCCGCAGCTGCTTTAAGTGCTGTTAGGCCATGGTTATGGAAGATTTCACAAATAAGTCAACACATTCACAGGGATCACAAAATCTTACTTTAATATAGGGCCGACTTAAGTATTTCAAGTAACTTTTTTATTCATTTAGCAGACACTTTTATCCAGTCCCTGGAGCAACTTGGGGATTAAGGGTCTTGCTCAGGGACCAGTGGTGAAATCACTCGGCTGACTTTAGGATTTGAACCGATGACCATCTGATTAGACAGCTTCCTAACCCTCTCAGCGACACATCAGTATTTCCTCGGCCCTTCTGATTCGGACCTCCTGCCTCCATCCCTTTTTTTCAGGAGGACGATGGCTCTACTGGGCTGCACCACGCAGCCAAACTGGGCAACCTGGACATTGTAAATCTCCTCCTAGGAACAGGACAAGTTGACATCAACGCACAGGTGGGGGCGAGGGGCAGAGGGTCGCGCTTGGGCTCTTGGCAGGGCGACCCCGGCCAACAAGTCAGTGTGTTTCCTCTGCGTATCTATGGCTGTCTGTGTTTTGGTGTGCGTGCTCGTGTATGTGCTCGTGTTTGCTCGTGTATGTGCTCGTGTTTGTGCTCGCGTCGCCCCTGTGACTTTGCAGTGCTGCTGGCTCAGGCTGCCGCTAAGCTCTCGTGACCCATCTCTCCGTTTTTAGGACAGTGGAGGTTGGACCCCCATCATCTGGGCCGCGGAGCACCGACACATCGCCGTCATCCGGGCGCTGCTGAATCGGGGCGCGGACGTCACCCTCAATGACAAAGTCAGTGGCATGAAAATCGTCCTCCTTACATGTGACACACAAAATGGTGAAGCTAGTTACATAATATACAGTATCAGTCAAAAGTTTGGACACGCCAAGATGCCTACAAAGGAGAGTGAAAGTGTGTCACATGACCTGGCCACCTGACCTAAACACAGTAGAAATTGGGTGCGTTCGACTTCATATCGCCGCTTCCAGCACTGGCTTAAAGCAATGCATTCTTGAAATGAATACTTTTTTGGTCAGTGTGTAATTCTATGTCTTTAGAATTATTGTAAAATGTACAGAATAGTACATATAAACCTTTTTATTGGTAAGCATGTCCAGACTTTTCAGTGGTACTAGTCAAAGTATTAGTATGTTCTAGCACTTAGTAATATATTTTTGGCTAATGTTTTTTTTTTTATATATAAAAACATTAATGGCATGGGAAGGTAAATTGGACTTGCATAAAATTTGAATTGAATTGTTTTTGGAACGTATTACTTAAGTCAGTTGAGAACTGTCTGTGTGTCTAGGAAATCTTGCTGTTGTACGTTTGAGTGAGGTGCATAAACTGAACAAAATGGTGAAATGTAACTGGGCTATTAAAAGCTTTGGAAAGGCACATGGCCTAGGTGGTGTATCAGGTGACCGGATCTCTCCCCGTCTCTCTCTCCCCGTCTCTCTCTCTCTCTCTCTCTCTCTCTCTCTCTCCCCGTCTCTCTCTCTCTCTCTCCCCGTGTCTCTCTCTCTCCCCCTCTCTCCCCTTAGGAGATGAACGTGTGTCTGCACTGGGCTTCCTTTGCTGGCAGTGTGGAGATCGCCGAGCTGTTGCTGAATGCTGGCTGCCCCCTATCCTCCGTCAACGTACACGGGGACACCCCGCTGCACATAGCATCCCGCGAGGGCTACCTGGACTGCGTCACGTGAGTCGACGGAACGACCAGTTAAAAATTCAAAACAAGCTTTATTGACAGAATGGAGACTGATTCCAATTTTGCCGAAGCAGAATAGATGTGATACCTTATTAAACGCCTGCACCATTTTACATTCGGGACACCAGGGTTTTAAATAAATGCTCTTTTTTGTTTTCTAATCAGGCTGTTCCTCTCACGGGGGGCGGAAATCGACATTAAAAATCGGGAGGGGGACACCCCCCTCTCTTTGGCACGATGTGATTCGCCAGTCTGGGTGTCGCTCCAGATCAACAGGAAGCTGCGGAAGGGGATAGCCAATCGCATTTTGCGCACAGAAAAGATCATATGCAGGTAGGTTTGAATTTGTCATATTACACTTATTTAGAGTAGAACCCGGTTCTCAGCATTGTGGAAGCTGATTTGTGTGCTCACTTCCTGTGTCCCAGCGACGTTGCCCAGGGATACGAGAACGTGCCCATACCCTGCGTGAATGGGGTGGATGAGGAAGGATGTCCCTCTGACTACAAGTACATCTCTGAGAACTGCGAGACCTCTGCCATGAACATAGACCGCAATATCACACACTTACAGGTTCCTTCCCCACCATCTTTGAATCTTTCTATGTTCAGGAGTGGATTAGCAGGCGTTCATAATCAGCAATACTTCTGCTGCCATAGAAATATATCAGCTGGTCACATATTGACTGCCGTATTTCTGTCAGTATGTCAAACATGTTTTTCCTGATTATAACGAAAGCATTTCAAGGAGTACATTTTATCACTCTGTCTCTCTCTCTCCCCTCTGTCACTGTCTGTCTCTCTCTCTGTTTGTCTGCCTGCTTGCCTCTCTCTTTCTCTCTGTCTCCTCTGTTTCTCTTTTGATGTCCGTCTTTGTCTTTCTCTGTCTTTCTCTCTGTCCGTATGTCTCTGTCTCTCTCTCTGTCTGTCTCTCTCTGTCTGTCTCTGTCTCTCAGCATTGCAGTTGCACAGATGACTGCTCCTCCAGTAACTGCCTGTGTGGACAGCTCAGTATCCGCTGCTGGTACGACAAGGTAAGCCCCGCCCACCAGACCATAGGTGCTTCCATTCTCTCATCAGCAGCCCGAAGCTGTCAGTCCCATGGTGCTCCCTGCATGCCACTCATGGCGAGGTCATAGACTTGTGGCATGTGCCTTCATGTGACAGATGCCTTCCTCATTCATCAGGACCGACGGCTTCTCCAAGAGTTCAATAAGATCGAACCTCCGCTCATCTTTGAGTGCAACCTGGCCTGCTCCTGCTATCGCACGTGCAAGAACAGGGTGGTCCAAGCAGGCATCAAGTAAGACTCTTCTGACCCCCCGGACATCTGTTCTTCAATCTGGAGTCTCTCTCCCCACTGTGATTCTGAGCCCCACTGCTGCCTGATTGGCTGTTGCCACCTAATGAGATGTCCCGGGGGAGGGGTTTGGGGGGGGTCGTAATCAACCCCCGTGTCTGTCAGACCAATGTTAACTGTAGTATTTCTGGGATTTACTGTTTCTTCAATGAGTTTGGCCATTACGTTGCCCTGTCTTCCTCCTGGTGCATAACGTCCTCTGCCTTTTGCATGAATAGATGTTGTTCCTGAATCGCCATTTACTTTGAAATGTTACCGTGTTTGCATGCCATTTCCTTTGTGCGCCCTCCTCCCCCGCAGGGTGCGTCTTCAGCTGTACCGCACCGAGAAGATGGGCTGGGGTGTGAGAGCCCTACAGGACATCCCTCAGGGAAGCTTCATCTGCGAGTCAGTCTCCCCACCTGTCTGTCTGTCTCCCCACCTGTCTGTCTGTCTCCCCACCTGTCTGTCTGTCTCCCCACCTGTCTGTCTGTCTCCCCACCTGTCTGCCTGGGTCTGCCTGTCTGTCTGTGCCTGTCTGCCTGTCTGTCTCTCTGTCTCTGTCTGCCTGTCTGTCTCTGTCTGTGCCTGTCTGTCTCTGTCTGTGCCTGTCTGTCTGTGCCTGTCTGTCTCTGTCTGTGCCTGTCTGTCTGTGCCTGTCTGTCTCTGTCTGTGCCTGTCTCTGTCTGGGTCTGCCTGTCTCTGTCTGCCTGTCTCTGTCTGCCTGTCTCTGTCTCTGTCTGTGTCTGCCTGTCTC